TTATTTTCGCATATTTATTTCAGTGAGGCTATGAGTGTTTAGATGCGAATCCAGCCCGAATTGTGCCTTTCAGAGAAGTTTGTGATGCTAATGCTTTCAAGATTGCCACTTCGCTGATTATGACGGGGATCGAGCTGCCCGGTTAGCTCGCGGGGGTCGAGGGGCAGCGCCCCTTGGCGAGTCGGGGCAGCGCCATGGCGGGGTCGAGGGGCAGCGCCCCGAAGCAAAATGCAAAATGCATTCAAAGTTGCCTGTCCGATCTTGTTTATTTTTCCAGTTTTGGCCTTCCCGCTCGAGCGGGGAAAAGGGCGCTCGAGCGGAGTTTTCGAGCTCACAGTATCTCTGCAATGCCTGAAAAAGTACTGGATGGTGTGATTCGCCGCTCGAGCGCAAAACCGACGCTCGAGCGTGGAGCTTGTATGAAATCACAGAATTTGAAGTCTCCGCTCGAGCGGGAAAACCCACGCTCGAGCGGACCGCGGATCCCAGATTTCCAGATTTGATTAAAGAGTTGGTTTTCTTCTAAAATTAGGATTGTTTTGGTTTCTATATTACTTGGTTTTCTCCCAAAACTAGGTGATTGATAGAACTTCTCCAGATCTTCTTTTTTGGATCTTAAGGTTTATATCTGGAGAGATTTTGATAGTTTTCTTTGATGTTTTATTGAGTATTCAACTCATGGTCTAAAGAGAGTACATCAAAGGTGTGTTTTGTTCTATAAAAGAGAGAGTTGTTCTTCAGTTGTGGATTCTGAAGAATTCGAGCCTGAAGCTTTGGTGGAATCCGGAGTGGCTCATCAGAAAGACAATTCCGTGGTGAAGATGGGTTGGAAGAGGCACATAGAGGTTGGTTCAATTAGGCGTTGTGGATTCGCTAGATAATTGAGAGTATACCTGTGTAATTCCTTTAATCTTCTTAGTGGATTGTTTTTGTGGCAGTTGCCCGTGGTTTTTTTATCACAGTTGGAGGTGTCCAATTGTGGTTTTTTCCACGTAAATCGTTGTGTCTCTTTATCTTGATTGTTTTGATTGGGATTGTTTATTCTGCTTTTAAATTGATACATAATCACAAATCAACATCTAGGGGATTTCTAGATTTTTCAGCCCTTGACCACAGCCAGGTTTTCTTTTCTCCAGGCCAAGCTCATGGTTCGTCCCTCTCCTCTTTGATTGAGGGGGCCTATGGAGTTAGCAGCTGTGATATTTGCCTTGAAGATTTGGAGGCATTATCTTTATGGTGAGAGGTTCGAGGTGTTCTCGGATCATAAGAGTTTGAAGTATCTGTTTACACAGAGAGACTTGAATTTGAGGCAGAGGAGGTGGATGGAATTTATATAGGATTATGACTTTGAGTTGCATTATCATCCAGGAAAGGCCAATGTGGTGGCCGATGCTCTTAGCAGGAAACCTGTTGGTGACATAGCTAGTATAGCCATCCGGGAATGGGAGATGTTGGGTGCACTTGGGGAGTTTGATTTACTTCTGGGCGAATCGGTTGAGGCTGCGGCTTTGTTTTCTGTTGTTGCACAGCCTACACTTGTGACTCGAGTGTTAGAGGC